GGGAGAGAAGAGCTTCAGATAGGCACAGCCCAGATTTAATGAGAGCTCAGATAAGTAAAAAGGGGGGGGGGGATACCGATGCCTAAACATTTTTTACCCTAATGCAAGGAATGCATTAGGGTAAAAATGTTTAGGTTTTATAACCACTTAAAAAAAAGTAGCTTTTAATATTACTTTAATTGCAACATAAATATCTAAAGCCACATGTTTTCATTTTGAATAGATAGGGGAGGTTTAAAACTGAAGTCAGTTTTTTTTAGACCATCTGTGTCTCATTACAGAGATTTCGCTTCACTTCCTTTCCCGTAGACTCAACAGAAATTGAGAGGATCTTTTCACTGTGAGGGATATCTCCTCTCATACAGTTGTCAGGGTCTCAAGTGTTCCCACTGGAATATTTCAAAGTTTTGGAATTGCCCTCACTTTCTTTCTTGGTGACATTGATGATCAGAACAATTAAAGACTGAGCTTCCATAATGGAGACACAGACAGCAGTGGTTCTAACACTTCACTACACTATCCAAATCTAAAAAAAATGTTTGGTCTTTAGTTATACTTTAATATCAAATGTAAAAGCAAATAAAGCTAGAATAGATTGCACGTAGTGGCTCACACAAAACTGAGGAGATAATATTCACTATGATTACCTCAGCAGTCATTAGATCAAATTCAAAGATAATAGTGGTGTAACATAATAATGCAGCTGTACTTAATTCACAAAAATATGACACATTGCAGTAGAGAAATCAATACACAACATAGGCCTTATATGACCTCAATTTATCATGTAGAGGTTCTGTTTATTGATGTTATTTTCAATTTGCATTCAGTCACAAGCAAGATCATTGCTTAAATCCAACAGCAGAAGCATAGCATTAGACATTTTATACTCCTGAACCTGCAGACTCCACTGCACATGGAATGTCCAACTGAAAACGCCTATTACCCTATAAACTGTATGGGATATCACCATAGCAGCAAGAATAAAACCTTCTTACTTTGCACAGATCGATGAATCTACAGTTTCATGTATTGCTTCCTGACAGCCGATGCTAGCAGCTGTCAGAATGGCTGAACAGATTGAATGGCTGTTCGCCAGACAATTATTGGCCTGGCTCATCCAATTTTTCCAGTGAAGGATGTTGGGTGGGAGGGTCATGACAGGGCTACCCATAAAGTGAATTTTGGCTAGTTTATTGGGAAATTTGGCCAGCTTTAGGCTCCATGTACACTATTGTTTTTTTAAGCTCCTAGTAGCTGTTATTAGAATTTTTTCTGCTCCACGAAGTGTCCACGCACACTACTTTTAGCTATGAGCATTTTTTGAGCTTCAGCATCTAGGAGAAGAAAAAAAATTGTTTTTGTAGAGTTTTTTAGAGAATTCTCCAGCAGAAAAAAATGCTAAATGCTCCTAAAACACTCCAGCTTTCTTCTAGCTTTTTAATTTTTTTTCCTCTACATCTACTGTTAAAGTGCTACCAAAACGCTAACGCTCCTAAATGCTTCTGAATGCTACTAAAACACTACTAAAAATGCTATTACCAGCATTTTTATCCAGCATTTTTGAGCATTTACAAAAATAGTAGGCAAGAATCTAGACAGATAACGCAAAAATCAAGCAGATACTGAATACATTTAAAGAGTCAGTCTATTTCAAACTGCTAATTCAGTGTTTGGCAGGTGCTACTTAGGTACACCACCAGACAATTTTGTTTTATAATTTTTTTTTATGAAGAATGCAACAGGAGGAACTGGAAGACACAATGGTGGGAAGGAACACCCAGAACCTCGAGGGTGGACAAGAACAGAGAAAAATAATATAGCAATGTATAGTACTAAATCTTGCTGTTGAAGTTTAGGAGAAATGTAAAAAACTGGGGACTGACTCAGCCCACCTGACTGGGTTTATAATTTAAAGATTTTATTGCTTTCTGTGTCCACATTTATGACATTCACCCCTCTATACTGATTACCCTTTTTAACCAAATCAGAAAATAAGTGGAAAATCAAACTTTTAGAGCTGTTCTCAGAATAAAAGGTCAGTGAAATAGATTGTAAACTCTAACAAGAAGGACCCTCTGATCCCCTTTATTCTGCACATGTTGGGAGATTTCCAACTCTCTGTTGTGTAATCAGGGCAGAAAGTTAAGGGAAATTCCCACAACACACAGGCTGCATAATATAGCTGGCAGGGGGTTTTAATCCCTCCCTATTCTATTCAAGACTAAGAAAAACATTTGGTTATATATACACATGTATACAGATGTATTAGCAGAAAAATATAAAAAGCTGGCTTTTTTCATTTCCAGGGAAGCACAGGTGATGCGTACAGCCACCCACAGACATGAATAGCTGTGCATGGGTACATCCACATATATATAGCGTTTGGATGTATTCCCTGAATTAAATTCTCAGTCTACTTGGGAAATATGTCCATGGCATAGCTGCCAGCTGTCACGGATTGTTGGGGACAGTCACAAAGTTTTGAATGATATCCCGATATGCCTCAGTCCCGGCCAGTGTTCTGGATCCGAGATCAAGGAGGGGGCAGCAGCAGATAGGGTTTCCTAATTCTACAAAGCCTAAAGTAGTTAAAAGATTAACTGCTTCCCTGCTGCCCTATAACAGATATACTGCTACAGAGCAGCAGGGGTGTGTAAAATCCCGTATATATACTTGATTTTGCATTTCCGGGTAGGGGGTGTGCGCGAGCCGCCCGTGTGCCTGACCGAAGCCGCTGTTTGCGGCCTCCGCTGTCAATCACCGGGTCCCGGCCGGTGATTACTTGCCGACACCCGGTAATCGAGGCACATTACCAACAGAGGTAGAGAACTGTATGTAAACAATACACATAAAAGAGTCATTCAAAGCAGTGTGCTTACAGTTGAAAGCAGACACACAGCACACAGTTAACCCTTACTGCCCCACATGCTAACCCCTTCCTGCCCAGTGCCATTAGTACAATGTCAGTGCTTTTTATTAGCACTGAACATTGTATTGGTGTCACTGGGGATGTCAGTGATACCAAGTCAGTTCCCCCCATTGTCAGAATGCCCACCGCAGTCCCGCTATAAGTTGCTGATTGCCGCCTTTACAAGTAAAAATATTTTTAAAAAATGTAAAAATCCCAGTATATATTCTGCCATTTGTAAACGCTATAACGTTCACATAAACCAATTAATTTACACGTATTGGGATTTTGTTTAGCAAAGACATGTAGCAGAATACATTTTGTCCTAAATGTATGATGAAATTTGATTTTAAAAATTTTTTTACTAGACATGTTTAATAGCAAAAAGTCAAAAATATTGTTTTTTTTTCTCAAAATTGTCGTTTTTTTTTTTCATAGCGCAAAAAAATAAAAAATGCAGAGGCGATCAAATACCACCAAAAGAAAGCTCTATTCGTGGGAAAAAAAGGTCATAAATTTCATTTGGGTGCAGCATTGCATGACCGTGCAATTGTCAGTTAAAATAATGCAGCGCCGTAACACAAAAAATGGGCTGGTCAGGAAGGGGGGTAAATCCTCTGGAGGGCAAGTGATTAAAGGGATTCTAAAGGCTTGTGTTTTTTTTTAACTAGTTGCTGTCCAGCCACAGTGTTTTTACTGCGGCAGGGCGGCACCGCTGTGCAGAATCATGTTTTTTAAACGTCATTCTGCAAAACAGGTAGGGGGAGCACGCGAAGCGCGCGTGACCGCCCTACCTGTGCCGCTGATCGCGGCCGCGAGTGTCAATCACTGGGTCCCGGCAATTACCGGCAATCACTGACAGGGAGCACGGCTGTAGTGTTTACACTGCAGCTCTGCTTCCTGTCAGTTCCGAGCACGCTGATCCTGAGAGAAGAGTTTATCTCTCAGGATCAGCATGTTCCTGTGAAGCACACACCCCCTCCCCTAGTAAAACACTCCCCTCACACAGTTAACCCTTTCATTACCTAAAAAAAGTTAACCCCTTCCTCCCCAGTGCCATTAGTACAGTGTCAGTGTTTTTTTTTTGCACTGATCACTGTATTGGTGTCACTGGGGATGTCAGTGACCCCAAGTCAGTTCCCCCCCAGTGTCAGAATGTCCGCCGTAGTCCCGCAGTCCTGCCATAAGTCGCTTATCGCCGCCATTACTAGTATAAAATTTTTTTTAAAATCCAGTATATATATAGCTATTTCTAGATGCTATAACTTTCACGTAAACCAATTAATTTACACGTATTGGGATTTTTTTTTTAGCAAAGACATGTCGCAGAATACATTTTGGCCGAAATTTATGCCGAAATTTGATTTTTAAATATTTTTACTGGACATGTTTATAGCAAATAGTCCAAAATATATTTTTTTTCTCACAATTGTCAGCCTTTTTTTTTTATAGCGCAAAAAAAAAAAAAAAAACGCACAGGCGATCAAATACCACCGAAAGAAAGCTCAATTTGTGGGAAAAAAGGACGTAAATTTAATTTGGGTGCAGTGTTGCATGACCGAGCAATTGTCAGTTAAAGTAATGCAGCGACGTAACACAAACCGCTTCTGTAACCGCTTCCTGACCGCCCTATAGCAGAAATACTGTTACAGGGCGGCATGGGTGCACAAAATCACACATATATTTATATATATATATATATATATATACGCGGTTTTCACGCCCTTCCCAGATAGCGTTAGATTGCCCGTCAGTACACCAGTCATCACATTTAACCCACTGATTGCCACGAACACGCGTCGTACACAATAAACCTCCATTGTTAGTATAGTGTCTGAATGGATCAATATCTTTGATCAGATCAGCACTATACCAGCATTCACATTAGTATAGTGTCCCCAAAAACGCAGCGTTAGTAGGATCAGCCCCGGCACCTGCCTGCACCTGCGTTTAGCCCCTACGCATACCCCCCCCCTTCTCCCCCAGCAAGTGCAGTGTCAGTAGGCCACTGTCACTTGATACATTGCACACAAAACCGCAGTGTTCGCAGAATCAGTCCTGATCTCTGTTAGCACTTGTCAGTAAATTTTGATGACTCTCATATGCAGCAGAGTGCCAGTACTAGTGCCACGCTATCTTTTGGTGAACTGGCGAGTAATAGTGGCCTAGTACATCCTGGTCTTTCACATATCTCTTAGATTGTAAGCTCCAGGATTAGGCCCTCCTAACCCTCTTGTATTGAACTGTATTGTTCTGTATTGTCTCCCGTTATATTGTAGCGCTGAGCAAACTGTTGGCGCATAAATCCTGTATAATAATAATAATACCAGCACTGCAGTATGACTTGGCGACTTGGTGAGTCCATAAGTGCAGTACAAGCTGGTGCCATGGCAAGCACAAGTATTGTCCCGCAACCACAAAGAATTCGCACACAGGCCCGTAGAGCTCCTAGTATCCTTCCGGATGTGCTTGCAATCCCGATTTGACAGCCCACAAAATTCTGCAGCACCCGTACTTCCCCCATTCATTGCCCAACCCAGAATTCAGGTGGAAATAGCAAAATTTAACTACTCCCCTTGATTTTTGGAGCTGTTTTTCACAGGAATATCTGTATGTGTTGATTGTGGATCAAAGCAATTTGTATGCCCAACAATTTATAGCCGCCAACCCAAATTCAAACCTTGCCAGACCATTCACATGGAAACCCATTACAGTTTTGAATTTACATTTTTTTTGGGCCTAACCCTCAACATGGGCATTACTAAAAGAAATGAATTGCGGTTGTATTGGTCCACAGACCCGTCATCATATGCCGTGTTCTCTGCTGCCATGGTCAGGCATAGATATGAGAGTTTAATGTGTTTTATGCATTTCAGCGACAATGCACTCTGTTATCCTTGGGGTAACCCTGAATTTGACCGGCTCCACAAAATTCAGCCCTCGCAAATCACTTAACCAAAAATTTGCAGATGTCTATACTCCCCAGCAAAATATCTGCGTTGATGAGTCCCTCATTAATTTTTCTGGCCGCCTTGCATTCAAACAATTTGTGCCAGATATGGGGTCAAGATGTACAGTTGCAAGAAAAAGTATGTGAACCCCTTGGGATTACGTGGAGTTTTGCATGAATTGGGCATAAAATGTGCTCTGAATGTCATCTAAGTCACAACAATAGAAGAACACAGTCTGCTGAACATAATACTACACAAACATTAGATGTTGCCATGGTTTAATTGCCCATAACATGTAAACATTCACAGTGCAGGGAGGAATACAGTCATGGCCGAAATTGTTGGCACCTTGATATTTCTCCAGGAAATCATGTATTTTTCACGAAAACGTTATTGCATTAACACATGTTTTGCTATACACACATGTTTTATTCCCTTTGTGTGTATTGGGACAAAAAACAAAAAAAGGGAGGAAAGAAAGCAAATTCGACATAATGTGTCACACAAACTCCAAAAATGGGCTGGACAAAAAGTATTGGCACCCTTTCAAACTGCGGATAAATAATTGAATGTTACAAGCATGTGATGCTCCTGTAAACTCACCTGGGGCAAGTAACAGGTGTTTTGGGCAATATAGAAATCACACCTGAAGCAGATAAAAAGGAGAGACGTTCACTTAACCTTTGCATTGTGTGTGTTCTGTCTGTGCCACACTAAGCATGGACAACAGAAAAGGAGGACGAGAACTGTCTGAGGACCTGAGAACCAAAAATTGTGCAAAATTATCAACAATCTCAAGGTTACAAGTTCCATCTCCAGCAGAGAACTAGATTTGCCTTTGTCACACAGTGCGCAACATTATCAAGAAGTTTGCAAACCCATGGGCACTGTAGATAATCTCCCTGGTCGTGGAGGATGAGGAAAATTGATGAAAGATTGCAACGCAGAATAGTCCGGATGGTGGATAAGCAGCCCCAAAATGTTCCAAAGACATTCAAGCTGTCCTGCAGGCTCAGGGAGCATCAGTGTCAGCGCGAACTATCCGTCGACAATTTAAATGAAATGAAACGCTATGGCAGGGAGACCCAGGAGGATTTGACACAGAGACATAAAAAAGCAAGACTACAGTTTGCCAAAATGTACTTGAGTAAGCCAAAAGCCTTCTGGGAAAACGTCTTGTGGACAGATGAGACCAAGATAGAGCTTTTCGGTAAAGCACATCATTCTACTGTTTACCGAAAACGGAGATGAGGCCTACAAAGAACAAAACACAGTACCTACGGTAAAATATGGTGGAGGTTCAATGATGTTTTGGGGTTGTTTTGCTGCCTTCTGGCACTGGGTGCCTTGACTGTGTGCAAGGCATCATTGAAATCTGAGGATTACCAAAGGATTTTTCGCACCTGTAGGGCAGTGTCCCAGTGTCAGAAATTCAAGATCCTGGGTTCTTCCAGCAGGACAATGACCCCAAACATACGTCAAAAAGCACTCAGAAATGGATGGCAAAGAAAGCGCTGGAGAGTTCTGAAGTGGCCAGCAATGAGCCCAGATCTAAATCCCATTGAACACCTGTGGAGAGATCTTAAAAGTTGCTGTTGGGCATGAAAAGGGTCCTTCCAATAAGAGAGACCTGGAGCTGTTTGCAAAGGAAGAGTGGTCAAAATTCGGGTGAGAGAGGTGTCAGAAGCTTATTGATGGTTATAGGAAGCGATGATTTCAGTTATGAAAAGGGTGTGCAACCAAATATTAAGTTAAAGCCAACCTTGACTCCAATCAGTGCGATGATATTGGATGTGTTGCTGCCAGCTGTCCTGCCTTAAAAAACACACACCTGTTTTGGGTTTACTGGTTTCAAGAAGCACTGTCTGATGTGAACCATGCCGCGCAGAAAAGAGCTCTCAGAAGACCTACGATCAAGAATTGTTGACTTGCATGAAGCTGGAAAGGGTTACAAAAGTATCTCCAAAAGCGATGATGTTCATGTGTCCATGGTAAGACAGACTGTCTACAAATGGAGAAAGTTTAGCACTGTTGCTACTCTCCCTAGGCGTGGTCGTCCTGTAAAAATGACTGCAAGAGCACAGCGCAGAATGCTGCATGAGGTAAAGAAGAATCCCAGAGTGTCAGCTAAAGACCTACAGAAATCTCTGGCACATGCTAACATTTTTGTTGACACATCTACAATAAAGAAAACATTAAACAAGAATGGAGTACATGGGAGGACACCACGGAGGAAGCCATTGCTGTCCAAAAAGAATATTGCAGCACGTTTGAAGTTTGCAAAAGAGCACCTGGATGTTCCACAGCACTACTGGCAAAATATACTGTGGACAGATGAAACCAAGATTGAGTTGTTTGGGAAGAACACACAACACTATGTGTGGAGAAAAAAAGGCCCAGCACACCAACATCAAAACCTCATCCCCACTGTAAAACATGGCGGAGGGAGCATCATGGTTTGGGGCTGCTTTGCTGCCTCAGGTCCTGGACGGATTGTTGTCATTGATGGGAAAATGAATTCCAGAGTTTATCAAGACATTTTGCAGGAAAACGTACGACCATCTGTCCGCCAACTGAAGCTCCGCAGAGGATGGGTGATGCAACAGGACAATGACCCAAAGCATACAAGTAATTCAACAAAACAATGGCTGCAACAGCACAGAATACGCCTTCTGGAGTGACCCAGTCAGTCCTGACCTCAACCCCATTGAAATGCTGTGGCATGACCTTAAGAGAGTGATTCACACCAGACATCCCAAGAATATTGCTACACTGAAACAGTTTTGTGAAGAGGAGTGGTCCAAAATGACTCCAGATCGTTGTGCAGGTCTGATCTGCAACTACAGGAAACGTTTGGTTGAGGTTATTGCTGCCAAAGGAGGGTCAACCAGTTATTAAGTCCAAAGGTTCACATACTTTTTCCTCCCTACACTGTGAATGTTTACATGTTATGTGCAATTAAACCATGGCAACATCTAATGTTTGTGTAGTATTATGTTCAGCAGACTGTGTTCTTCTATTGTTGTGACTTAGATGACGTTCAGAGCACATTTTATGCCCAATTCATGCAAAACTCCACGTAATCCCAAGGGGTTCACATACTTTTTCTTGCAACTGTACAGTAGAAGACCTGTGAGAGGACAACAGGCTATACTTATAAGTTTTGGATTTACGAGGGAAAAGATAGTCACGTGGAGCCCCCGGATGCCCAGACTACATGGGAAACAGTGGCAAGATAGTTTGGGACTTGGTGTCATCCTTTTTCCATATGGGGTACCACTTATACATGGACAATTTTTATTCAAGCGTGCCACTATTTAGACATTTGTTCAATCTTGGAACTGGCGCATGTGGCAAAGTGTGACCTAATGTGTGCCCACCATTAGAAGAGGGTGGATGCAGGGCGGTATATTCTAATGGTGGGCATACCACACACTTTTTCTGACAGAGATTTCTCTTTTTTTCATTCAGTCCACAGGCTGCATACAAAAAAAAAAAAAGAACATAGCATATACACCCAACAAGGATCAGCGATGTACTGGTACATCACTGGACTTTGAATGGTTATACCAGAATGATGCCTACAGCTGCAGGCATCATCCTGGTATCGTTTTTTTCAGCCGGCGATCGGCTTTCATGTAAAACCAATCCTAGTGGCTAATTAGCTGCAAGATTGCTTTTACAAGCAGCGGGAGATGATGCTCCCCCTCCCCCGCTGCCTTCCACGGTCTTCTCGGGCAGTCCCGTGCCATCGGGGGAACCTGAGAATGCAGCAGGTGTTTCTGCCAGCTGACCATAGAGCTGATTGGAGACCAGAGTGGTGCCAATCATCTCTATAGTCTTAGAATTTGGAAGCTACAAGCATTTCATCACTTCAGTTTCGCAGGATATAAACAGCGTCATTTGTAAATTGGGAAAGCATCTGATCACACTGATTTTGGTTTGATTAGATAATGTAAGGGCAGAAGCGATATCCAGAGTCTGATAGACCCCAGATTTCTCAAAAAAGAATATATGGCAATGCCCATTTAGGTTATAGGGGATATTTGCATTCCCTGTGATAGCATTAAAAGTGATAAAAAAAAATGAAAGGTAAAGTGTAAAAATAAAAAAAAAAAAAAATCGCTTCTCCCATGCGCACACACCTGTGTGCACAAGCCTTGACCCTGTGCTGGTATGTAAACAGCGGTTGCACCATGCATGTGAGGTATTGCCATGAACGTCAGATCAAGGGCAGTAATTCTAACACCAGATCTCCTCTGTAAATCTAAAATGGTAGCTTTTAAAGGCTTTTAAAGCGTTGCCTATGGATATTAAATATGTATGCAGTTTGTCGCCATTGCACGGGGCATGCACAGTTTTAAAACATGTCATGTTTGGTATCTATTTACTCTGAATTTTATATTTTACCAAATAATTGGCCAATATATTGTGTTTTTGTGCATTAAAAGTAAAAAAAATGTATTTTTTTTTTAAATTTGCTTTTGAAAAATCACTGCACGAGTACTATGTTCCATGTTTGGGGGTTTAAATTAATTTCCTAGCAAAAAATACTGATTTTTTTTCATATGAACAAAAAGTGTCAGAAAA